CCGCACCCAAATTGCAGCGCCAACTGGTTCTTGTCCTTAAGAGTACTTCCGGGCCGGAGTGCCCCTTGAAAGAAAGTGACAGAGCATCCATTGAATCTGTTCTTGAAGTTAGGTTTTTGGTGACTTGTTTGTCAAGTGACTCTTGTTTACTACTTAAGGCTGTAGAAATTCATCCACTATTCAATTATTTTATTTTACAGAATACAACATCAAATGACATGTAGATCCCATCCTCAACTTGATATATAGACAGCTCATCACTGGATCTTTATATATATATATATATATATATCCTCCAAAACAATAATTTAAATCTTTATATATATATATATATACATATGTGTATATATATATAAAGATTTAAATTATTTTTTTGGAGAATATTTATCATTAGTCTTCCAATAATAGTGAGGCCAACCTATGTGCCATGTTCTTTCTTTTTCTTTTTCAGTAAAAACTAATATTATTAATCATTAGTAATTACAGAAGAAATCGAACTTAATATCAGCCACAACAAAAGATTAATTTAACCATCACAATAAAGACGAGGCTAAATTTGAAAAGGCTAAAACGAGTGTTTGTCTTCTTTCGGAATTGGTTAAATAATCTACTGAATATACAACTCTTCTTTTGGAGGGTGTCTGAATCCAAAAAATGCTTGGACACTACCGACCGCGCAATCTAAGCTCAATTTTTTAGTAAAATCAAAGGGTGGCTTGGATGGAGGAAATTGGCTCCTCCGCCTACGTCTTGGATCCTGGTATACGTGGGGCTTTGAACTCCTTTAAGTTTAAATTATACTAAACAAGCTTGGAAAGAGATTAAAAATACTTAAACACAAATGAACCACACCATATCAAAAGAAAAACCACATTATATATTAAGGTAAATTCATAAATGTAGTGTACTTGTACAAATTAAATATGAGAAATTAAAGTACTTAATACAAGCATTGAACACCACATGACCACAGATAATTCCTGAAGGACCATTACTCCCACCAGGGACAAGCCTTCTATTAATATTCTCAAGCTCCTCGACCAGGTACTCGCCACAAGTTGCAGTTGCCACTTGAACTGGGCAAAGTTAAGGACAAAATTAGGATGAAATACAATTGATAAGTCAGCTATTGTCCCTATTGGCATGTTATAGAAGTGAAGGTTGGCTATGGATGCAAATACCTTATCTGTAATGGATACATCCAAGGTCAATAGTGTTGAGTTTTCTAAAACAAACAGAAGAGAAGGAGAATAAGAATACAGGCTTAACCAGGTCCCACATGGCCTAACCAAGGCCAATAATGTTGAGCTTTTTAAAACATATAAATACAATGAAAACAATAATTAAAAAAAAACCATATATATAATATAGGGTTGTTTAGGATTTGTGCGAAGATAATTATCTAAAAAATAATTTTTCTTTTAAGATTTAACCAATTCCTCATGATTAGGTTATCTTTTAAGATTTAACCAATTCCTCATGATTAGGTTATCTTTTAAGATTTAACCAATTCCTCATGATTAGGTTATCTTTTAAGATTTAACCAATTCCTCATGATTAGGTTATCTTTTAAGATTTAACCAATTCCTCATGATTAGGTTATCGAAAACTATAAATGATTAAATTTGTTGGCTTCTAGCAATAAACCACTTAAACCATTAGATTAGAAATCTTCTCAAAAATTTTTAGAAAAGAAAAATTATTATATCTTCAACTATCTCTTTTTTTTTCATCTCTTTTTTATTATCTATATAGGTGTATTTGATATGTAAAGAGTGTACAATACTTTTTTTTTAAAAAAAAATATAAGGCATGAACTTCTATTTGTAGAGAAAATTAAACTCAATAACACTATTAATGGTAAAACATCACTTTTCCTTCCTGAAAAACATCATTTACATTAACTCAAGATAATTTTAGAAATTTATACAATCAAGTCCATATTTGATATTTTTAGGTTTAGAATTATAATCTTTTATATTAATTACATTTTATTATGTAATTTGTAAAAATTATTTATAATCAAGTCATACTTAATTAATCACTTGAGTTTAATTTCTTACCATTGATTTTTAATTTATATGACCAATTAAGTTTATAATATTTTGACCAATATTATTTAAGAGCATGTAAATTTTTTTTTTCTAAATCATCTAGAAAAATAAATACTCTTTTGATTACTCAAATTTCTTTATATAATTTATGTTAAATTCAATATCTGTCTATTTATTATCCTTAATTAAGACTGGATGTAGTTATGATCAAAACATATTATTTTTTATATAAGATAACTTAATGATTTTAAGTCTAAAAATCATTTATATAATTATTATAAAAATCTTTACATACATATAAGTGATATTTTTATGTAAAATTTTCATGCTGATAAGTTTAATATACATATTATTTAATAAATACCTACATATTAATTTCAAATATTTCTATATCTTAACTTATACAAACAAATACTTCATTTAAAAAGAAAGAAATAAACACCTCTTTTGAACGAGACAGAAGAGGTAGTTAATTAGAAATAATAATAAACACTTCGTTGATGATTTAGCATGTAGTAAAAGAAGATTTCATAAATCTCTTAATTTTAATATAAATGATTTGTTTTAAAATATTAGACCATAAGAATACTGGACTTAGATTCATCGTGTAAAAGTTTGTCCCAATGAAATGACTATAAAATGAAGAAAAATATATATTTTCCTTCCTGAAAAACATCATTTACATTAATTCAAGATAATTTTAGAAAAATATATATCAACAATTTGTAAAAATAAAATAAAATGAAAGGTGACCTCGAAAGATTACAAAATGAAAAGGCGTAGAAATTTCAAGGGGAGAAAACAAAACAAAATAAAATAAAAAACAACGCCCATGAAACCAGGGTAAGAAAGTATGATGTTCCGATGCTTTGACCCGGAAGAAAGAAACATCGGAGGAGGAATTCTACATTCAAACATCAAGATTGGAAGAAAGAACGTGGATTCTTCGGTCATAACATCTTAGATGGTTTAATCAACAGAATTATGTCTGCTTTGAAAGATTCCACGATAACTGGAATGCTATGTCTCCAAGAACAGTTTCTGCTTCCAATTTCAAATTCCCTATTTACAATTAAGTAAAGATTGGAGGCGGCGAAAAACAAACGTTCTTAAGGGTATCTTTTAGATTGGAGGCGGCGAAAAACAAACGTTCTTATGGGTATCTTTTAGGAAGAAGAAGAAGAAGAAGAATTATAGTGCCACAGTTATATGGTCTGTGTGCTGGATTCATTTACTACACCGAGACAAAACCTGTGCTGCATGAGAAATTAAATTAATATGGTGAAGGATGCTTTGTAATTGTAAATAAATTTGAACGATATTTTTTTATTTTTAATATTAGTATATTAAAATTATAAAAAAAACATTTTAAAAATAGATGTTTTTTCAATGAAAAACATGTTAAAAGGCATTTTAATGCCGACAATTTAAATTGAATATCTTTGCTGTTTTAAAATAAAATGTCATATTTCACATTCACTGCAATTCTATTTTGATTGTTGCTAAATAGATATAAATACATCATCACACTAATTCTATCCTTCGCAGTTTTTTCAATAAATTCACTTGTTGCTTCAAATATCCCTGTTTTCATCTGGCAAGCAAAGGGCACAATTGGATAGAAGAAGAAGACGACGAAGAAGACGCATGATTGGATAGAAGAAGAAGAAGACGAAGAAGACATAGACCCACCATTGCCATTCCACATTCAAGATTTTGCCCTCTCCCTCACCCTCCACAAACTAAAAAAAAAATCAAAATATCAAATTGGACAAGTCATTGTTTGCTGAGTCATTCCCAGGCCTCAAAACTCACCCAAACACATACTAAATATATATATATATATATATATCTTGACTTAACCATAGTTAATTAATCTCAAACCCACCTCTATAAAAATCCCAGGAACCCATCTGCCCTTTCAAAACCCATAAACCACAGCGCTCTGTACCATACAATGCTCTCTTCCTGTCTCTCCACTTCTGCTCCTCCACGTGTAACATTCAAGCGACCGTTAGTAACAAACAGCACCACCACCACTCTCCCGCCCCCAAATCTGTCTCTCAAGAAACCTCAAGGCATGGCCTCATCTTTGTACGAGATTCTAAGGATTCCGGTGGGGGCAACAAACCAGGAGATCAAGACTGCTTACCGTAAACTGGCCAGGACTTACCACCCTGACGTGGTTGCCGAGGACCGGAAAGACACGTCTGCTGACGAGTTTATGAAGTTACACGCTGCCTATTCTACTCTATCAGACCCGGAAAAGCGGGCTGTTTATGATAGTAAGCTATTTATAAGGAAACAGCGGCCATTGACCACCGTGGGGTTTTCGGGCTATAGTGGTCGGACATGGGAAACTGATCAGTGTTGGTAGTCCAATGTGACGAATGAAAGATTATAGTAGCAATCGATCAGAAATGCAAAACCCGATCAGTCATGAATATACAACACTAGCCGTGTACAAACATGGCTTTCAACAAGATGAGGGAGATGCTGAGAAAAAAAAATGGCGCCAACCGTTTCTGCATCCTTAATCGCGACTGATGCTATCAACTGTCGTATTAATTAATTTGTAGATATTATATAATATTGTAAGTATACATGAGCAAAAAGTAATACAAACAAAGCTTGTAAGATTGAGTACAGTACTTGAAGGGATTTCTTGTGCAACCGGAGATTATTTAAGTAATTTTCTACAAGAGCTGAAATTGTGTAGGTTGTGTTCTGTAACAGAGTTTTGCTCTGTTTTTCGAGGGAAATAAAAAGGAAAAAAAAACATGGAAAATAGCCCAATGTCATGAATATATATATATATATATATATTCAT